TGTGAAATGATGTCTCCTTCTTGTGTAATTCAAGTCCCCCACACACATGAACCTGCTCACTTTTTCCAGCCATACTATGCTAAACTAAACTTTCAGCGATGAATGTGAGTATCCCGAATGCCACATACGCATACAACATTCTCCATAGATAACAGCTCAACAAGAACAATCATGAGACCCACCTAACAAGACACCATAACATAACATTCCTAAAGTCACATGGCCCCTAGAGACCATCAACCACTTATACCAGCCAGCATCACTAATCTCGTTGGATAGTAAATCCCATGTCAATCCCCTGCAGCAGAAGTTCATGGAGGAGTGAAGTGGGGGGGGGGGGGAAGGGGGTTAGACGAGATTCCTCAGCGTTCGGAATACTCCGGATTTAAGTCGCCGGGCTGTCCGGTGCGTGCCAAGGAATCCCACCTATGCAGGAATGCGGCATGAGGCGGGACCGACGGACAGCGAGTGCAACTCCCCAGTCTTCTCTCTCTCTTTTTCTCAACAGAGACTGTGCAACATAGAAGCAGTAGAAAGAAGCAGGAGAGACATATACACACGCACAAAAAACAGAGAGAGAGAGAGGGAATGCGCGCGACCATGCCGCGTAACGCCCGCCGCTACACATATACAAACCAACGAGAAACGGGGAGAGAACGAGAGAGAGAGAGCCACATATGAGAAGGAGCTTCAGAGAACCCATAGTGTAGATAGTGAGGGAGCGTATGAGAGAGAGAGAGAGAGAAAACCGCATACACACACACACACACGCACACATGCAACGCACAAAAACGGGTCCAGGCGTTTTCCGTCCCGTCACGCATGCGCCATTCAGGTTGCCCATCAAATCCGATTCCACTGTTTTCACGCGTGATACGCTTGCTTGGAGAAACGCGCTGGTTGTTGCTTCCGCGCGAAGCAGCAGCAGCAGCCGCCACCGCGGTTGCCGCCTGGAGTCTCTTCCTTTCCTTCCTTCCTTCCCTCTACTACAGCGCCGCGCGGATGAAAGTAGATTTGCGGATGGCAACTGGAGCACGAGCAGCCGTGGATTCCTCGCATTCCAAAGCCTCACCAAGACACAGTACATACACGCACACAAAAAACTATTCCACCCTTCGTACGGTACTGCGAGGACTAAATAAACGAGTGCCATGCATGCATGCATACAGCATCCTCCCTGTGAGTAATGAACGTAACTTCCAACCAAGCATTCTGGGGGTCTCGGAACCCATGCCACATTAAGCGTGAATTACAACCATTGCCAGTGAAGAGAGGAAAAGGCCGCGATTAGCATTCCAACGGCCAGAGGAATTCCGGACGCCCTGGACTGTAAGACAGCATTTGTTGGGAATTCTCGGGACTTTAAATAAGGTTTAATGTTCTTTTTTTCTTTCTCACAGTATACCGTACAGCACAATAAACGCTTCATGTCCCAGGCTTTCAGATTTCCTTGAAAGTTTCGTAGGTGTCTCCCGCATGTACAACACAGGTAGACTTTTTTTTCACTGCAATCATTTTTGCAAAAATATGGCTGCAAATAATTTTACAGTATTTGGTCCTATAACATTCTATAGTATCCATGCCCATCTCTTCGGGGTTTTCCACAACACATTTTTTGTCAACTGGATTTTCTGTATAGAGAGCCAAACTGTAGTATCAGGAAAAATCAATTTACAAAATAGTTTCAAGCGATACATTTATTTTCTACTGTAAATGTATAGCAAAACTGTTTACAGGTTCAAAGGCACATCCTTCAAGTTTGCTCTGAATTATTCAATTACAGGAGAAACAATGTTTGCTCCTTATGTTGACTGCAAACAGTACCACATTCTTTAAGCGCAAAACATTGATTATATCCATCACCAAAGCCATGTCTGTTTTTTTTTTTTTCTCCAAAATATAAGAAAAATTCACACGGATACAAAAATGCTATCAAAAAGGAAATTTTGCTAAGTGGTTTTTCGATTGAGCGCTTTTCTCCTGCCAATATTCAGACGTCAATCAAACCTTGGGGGGTGGGGGCTTGATTTTATAAAAAAAAGCAAGGTATGAATTAAATGTCGACAAATATTTTTAGAATACTGAGCAGGTGTTACCACATGCGCAGACGTAATTTCAAACTCGGAAAATTACGAAACTCATCAGAATTCCTGGCGCAACTAAGAATCGAAAACTTAATGAAATCCATGCGACACCTGTCAGACATATGTATTTAAAAAAAAAAACCGGCTGACTGGGCGTTGAAGTTGAAAAGATTTTCTTCTTTTGCGGGGAACAAAAGCTTTAAAGGTTGGGGGCACAGTAGCGTTTTTCGGGGGATGAAATAGTTCGCATTCCAGGCGTGGTCGCCTTTATATATACAGTATAAACACACACACACGCAGACATGCGTGCATTCCAACGGTTGCCGGGTTTTTCGCGTTTGTCATCGTCACTTTGGGGCCACCACATGCGCGCAACGAATTTTTTCCACGCGTTGTGTGTGGAGCACCTGACAAACGTTGACCGAGTATAAGGAGAATATTTCGCATTCCGGGAATATTTTCCTGGCAATTATTGCCGGCGAGTAAAGCGAATCGGAAACAGTTTTCTTCCAATGAGGAATTTCCAAAAGGTAAAAATAAGAATTCATACTCCCAAGTGTAATCGAGAGTAATTTCATAATCTTTTTCATGAAAGGTATTTAAAAAGCTGTCTGAAAGTTTTATTAAGCGAAATTTAATTGATTGAGAACGATCGAAGACGCCAATTATCGAAGTACAAATTAAACATTTCCACTCAAAATTCCTCACATTTAATCAAAATTTTCGGAAATAAAATACAGTGAAGTTCTCAATTTTAAATCAATTGACATCCCTATAATTTCGTACTACAGCATACAGAAAAAAAATTACTGTACTCTCAGTGTCAAAATGCTCCCCAATATAAAAATTAATCTTTAAATTAATTCTTGGAGAACTCATTGTGAGCCGAAATTCAGGGTGGGGATTCTCAACTTGAAATTTAGTTTTCAGCCAAACGGACTAACTTAGCAATTTTTTACGCAATTCGCAAAGAAAAGTATCCGAAATGAATAATTCCAAGCACTCGGGGAATTTTGCTTTCGAGTCAGTTTCACTTTATTTAATTTTTCCTTTCCGGTTGGAATACTATCATGTCCAACGTTCCCCGCGGCAATAATCGAAAAACACGCGCGGAATGAACAGCCAAAATTCAACGAAATCATGGGGCAACATTCCATCAATCACAGCGACATTCCGCACATTTCCCCCCGTAATATGAGTGGAGAGAAAAGAAAAATTCACTCCAGGTTGGCATTCCTGAAATTACGCCAGCATTCCAGGATGTTGAATGGGCCCAACTCAGAATCATAGCTTCATCTCTATTTCTTCCACTCCCATTATTTTTACTTCTTATATGATCACCACACAGATGGCTTATTATCCTATTGCCACATTCCAGGAATTTTATCTCTCTCGTTCCTCGAGACAATGAACCATAACCTCCAGAAGGAATTCCTGCGCAGAAAGGCACCAACTGCGCATCAAAACCGTGACTAATTACGCGATCCATTGACCAAACACGACGCAATCCCAATAAATTCCATCCAAGGGCGAGGAATTTTACCAAGACCAGCTTAGCTTTTCAGAAAAAAATGATGAAAACAGCGGATGCTGATGGAAACAAAGGAATCCACACCAATTAGTGTCAACACCTGGCGACAGTGCCCTGGAATCAATCATCCAAGCCTTAAACCCTTTTTCTGAGGGTACGAGGGGGCTCTGAACCAACCTGAGAATAGAATGATGGGGTGGATGTTATTTTTTTGGAGGGGGAAACGTGCTTTTTTCCAATTTATTTCGTGAGAAAAACACCAGCTGTGGAACACAGAAGGGTTTCTGAGAACAGATCATGGTCAGAAAAGGTACAGTAAGTTCTCAGGGAACAATAAGAGTTCATGAGAAATAAAAACACGAACACGATCTAAATTTTAACTGAATAATTTCCCACATCTAACGTGAGGTCATTTAAATTCGATGCTTTAAAAATTACATCGAAAAACGTACAATAAAACTCAATTCAAAAGGAAAACTTTTTGAATCACTCAAGAAAATAATTCTCTGGTCGAAAGAGTCATCCAAAAATGTATGTGAGAAATAACTCGAAAAATCCCTTCTCAAAGATTAAGTTAAAAACAGAAGGATTTGTTTTTCTAAAGAATGTTGAATTTCCATCCTCGTTCAAAGTCAGATAATGCCGGCGAATAAAATTACATTAATGAAGGTCCGAAGAAGAAAAAAAATTTAAGAGTTGTTGAGGTGAATACGTACAGTATTACTGTTCCGGAGAAGATTAAGTGATAACTCAACATTTCTCAACATTCCAAGAATGAAGTACATTACACGAATCGCTCAGAGAATATTACTCTGGTAAAAGGAGGCATCTAAAATTTAAATTAAAAAATAACTCGAAAAATAGTTGATTTATTACAGAAAATAAAATTAAAAGGATTAATTTTTAAGGATGTCAATATTCCATTATCGTTATAAACTAAGAAAATGCCAAAATAGCATCAATGAAGGTATCGTGCAGAAAACCAATGTGATGAAACTTTGAGGTGAAGAGTATTTTCGTGCCTGTAGATCACCTTCATTCAGATCAGCTTTCCGCATTCGCGCGTAAAATAAGTGAACATTCAAAATATTCTGAACATTCCTAACAAAAATTCCCTCTTCCAAAATAAAATGTTCATCTTCTCCATGACGAAAGATATCAAATGCATATACATAGGCTATTAAACAGGTGAAGTCGTCAGCATTAAAATCCAACCCCACCAAACCAAGAGAGACAGGAATCCGACCACATCAAAAAAGCAGTAAAATTCTGTGTGAGTAAAATACCGTAGAAGCTATAGAAGAAGCCTGTTGCGGAATTCAGAGGTTATCATTCTCCAGCGCAATGCATCAGAATATCGGTCGAGATTCAGGGACCGTTGATGATCATTTTCTTTCTCTATCTCTCTCTCTCTGTCTCTCTCCTCCTCCGGCCGGAATGATGGATAACATTCCAAGCGTGAAGCCGCCGCCGCCGGGTGGTGCGTTGGCAGGGTCGTTTTCGTTGTTTTGCGGCCGGTGATGCTGCTTGGCGGCGACCTTCTTCTTACCGCCGACGTAAGGTTGCGGCCTGCGGGCGTCCCTGCGCCTCGCTCGCTTCTGTCAAAAACGGACAGAGAAGGAGACACAGAAGTAGAGGAGACGGGAGAGAAACAAAATACATGCCCCGCGGGCTCAGACAGGCGCAGCGAGAAACCAGGATAACACATTCGCAGCATGGGGAAAAGGAAGAATCACGGAAAAGGGAGAGAGACGGTGAAGGGAAGGAGGAAAAAGGGAGGGACAGACAGACAGACAGTCAGATAGATGCGACATACACACACATACATGAGAGCCCCCCAGCGGCCGGACAATGCGGCGCCGCAACGGGCAATGGAGAGAAGAAAAAAAAAAAGGCCGCCCCGCGACCCGCTCTGGCAACCCCGCGCCACCATCCTCATCCGCGGGCCGGACCACCGCGCGCATTCCACGCATTCCGCGCGTTCCAACCCGCCGCTCGACTTGCCAGCGTTTTCCGCGCATCCCAACAAGCTTTTTGTTTGTCGGCCGGCGCAAACGGCCGCCAAGCGAATCGCCTCGCACAAAAAGAAACTTTAAAAAGACAACGTATGGGACTGGAAAAGCCATTGACAAAAACGCTTACTGTGCTGTACAATAACTTGAACTTAATTCAAGCAAATGGAGCGGACGGAATACCACATTTCAGTCAAAATGAAGACGAGCATTTTTGTGTGCCTCTCGAAAAAAGTCCCATAAATGAAAAAACTTTCGCCTCCACTAATCTTTAGCATTCGACAAATGCACNGCATTCCGCGCGTTCCAACCCGCCGCTCGACTTGCCAGCGTTTTCCGCGCATCCCAACAAGCTTTTTGTTTGTCGGCCGGCGCAAACGGCCGCCAAGCGAATCGCCTCGCACAAAAAGAAACTTTAAGAAGACAACGTATGGGACTGGAAAAGCCATTAACAAAAAAGCTTACTGTACTGTACAATAACTTGAACTTAATTCAAGCAAATGGAGCGGACGGAATACCACATTTCAGTCAAAATGAAGACGAGCATTTTTGTGTGCCTCTCAAAAACAGTCTCATAACTGAAAATACTTTCGCCTCCACTAATCTTCTTTAGCATTCGACAAATGCACAAATTCTGTTCAAGCTTCATATTTTGGGTCATTTCTCCCAAACTTCCAAATGCCGTTACTCTTAAACTCAATTTTTTTCTTGCGAAGGGCAAGAGGTGATCATTGCCATGCATCGAGTTCGGAATCTCTGGCATAAAAAAAAAGAAAACAACCCCAAATCTTTAAGACAAATTTTGGAAAGCACTGAAATGTTTACAATGCCCTGAAAACTTTTCATAAATACGAATTTCAAACAATTAAAACTAATACCCTTTCCGATCAATTGATCTGAAAATCAGCCTTCAAGTTCGTCACTTCCAATCAAATGTGGCTTATACGACAGTAAATGCTTCGTCATCATGACTCCATTTGAAATTGAAACAAAAATTATAACAAGCAAAAAACGAACGAAACAGGCAAAAAAAATTCCAGAAAATGAAAGAAAAGAGTATACAATACTGTACTGTATAGTATTCCGGAATTTGCATCTGGGTTAGAAATTCTCACACATACAAAAGGGGATACGGCTTCAAAGCTATCATAAAGTCAAAGCAAATTTGATTCACGTGACCCAAGCTTCATAAATCAACACACCGCAGGAGCGCGTTTCATTCAAGAGATAACAAATGAGGAAAATCTGGCACCATTTGTAAATTAAAAGTATTTTCCATACTTACGACAACGTAACATTTATGAACATATCAAATTGAATCGGGAATAGAAAGATTGTTTTTCAGGGCTTAAACTTTAGGGGAAAAATGAGCCCGAATTCAAGTACTGTATCAAGCCCCCTCGATTCGCTTACAAAACCGACGAAATTTCAGTGCTGATAATTTTAGTTCTCAAGACTTTCGTCACTTTTTCGTCGTCGGCTTTCTTCCTGCATATAAACCCAGCAACCAGAGCGACAGACGTCTGCAATCTTTCCCAACACAACACACTCTTGATGCGACCCTTGAGACTCGCCTCGAAACCTCGGGTGTAATGATCGGAAAATTCCTCTCGACACGAATTCATTGCTTTTTCTCTCTCTCCCTCTCCGGGCTACTTTTCTTTTTATTACTATTCAAAGAATAACTCAGTAGCAGAAAGCGGGGCAAGGTCTTAAAAATTCTTTCCTTTATTCGAAACCGTTCCCAACACACACATTTTTTATTATCTTGCACCGAAAAAAATCATCGAATAAAGTCGTAATTTCGCATAGTTACACAATGCCGGGAATGTTTCAAGATCCGGCAGTTTTTTCCCCCCTCGCCTCCACTTTCTCTTGAACGGAACTTCCGGTTTTCAAAAATAGAATCCTTCTGCGCTCATAACGTGAATTAGTTCGAGGATAAATAATAATTGGGCCTACCCAGAATTCAAACGGAACATTCAAAGTTTTTCATGAAATTATATTCGGATTTTTTTGAAAATGGTCATTTCGTTCAATTACTTTTTCCAACGGAGAATTTCAAGAAAAGTTTTCAAGAGCCATGAATGACGATAACTTCACGAGAAACTTGAAATATTTTAATCTAGCTCAAGTGACATTTCTCGTAATTAATTTTATAGTAGGTTAACCACTTTCAGAGCAACTTTCCTTGAATACTTTTCAGATCTAACTCACATTACAGCGTCCTTCAAAAACAGAAGATGATAAAAAGTAACTGAAGTCACTAGGTCCAACAACACCCAAAGAAAAACAAGAAACCTCGAATCAAACTTACGCAACCTAAACACAGAAAAATTAAGAAAGCTCAATTCTGAACCAAACCTTCGAATATTATCCTTGATCAACACGCCCAAATAGAATACTTATACAGGAAATTATCGAACCTATCCTCACGAGCCTCTCATTCACACTAAGCATTTACGTTGAAAACATGCCAAAATTATGAGGCCGAATCCATCTTCATGGAAAATGAATTACGCATAAACCGAAATTTAACATGCCTTAACCTGACTTGACTCAACGTGACTCGTAATTAAATTCAACGATCACTGTCCAAAGCAACAAAAACGAATTTTCTTTGAAACATCGGACGTGGGTAAAAAGATTTTTTGCGCTGTGAATATCCAGTAGAATCTCAATATAACGAATAATCCGCTTACAACGACGTCGTTTTCCAGGTCCTTGCCCAATAGCCAAAACAATAAATGAGCTATTTTTTATCGAATTTTTTCGTTTCGTTGTAAATTGATAAGCAGCACTAAAAATGCAACTTCCAAACACACAAAAATACACTTTCATTTTTTTTCCCAAAAATAAATCTTGTTCATTACGAAAATAAAGAAGCACTCACCAGGTCACAACCGCCACCGACGTAGCCCTGCAAATCGTGGCGCCTCAGTGACTCCGCATCCACGCCGCCGCCACCATTATGACCGCCCTGATACGACCCTCTACCATCCCCACTGCTGCCCACCACAGGCGGCACCCCAGTGGCGGAACTCGTGCTACAGTAGCCACTGCTACTGCCTGTGCTCAACCCCGAGATGCTCGTGTAATTCGAAATAGTGCTCGCGGCGGAACTCGCGTCGCCGGTCTTGATATAAGGCTGCAAGTCCGTCCGAATCTCGGCCAGGGCCTTTTGAGTGTACGGCGACCGAGAGCCGCGAGAGGCGTTCGAATTGGTGGTCGAGGCGCCACCGTTGTTGCCACCGCCNTGTTTCAAGATCCGGCAGTTTTTTCCCCCCTCGCCTCCACTTTCTCTTGAACGGAACTTCCGGTTTTCAAAAATAGAATCCTTCTGCGCTCATAACGTGAATTAGTTCGAGGATAAATAATAATTGGGCCAACCCAGAATTCAAGCGGGACATTCAAAGTTTTTCATGAAATTATATTCGGATTTTTTTTAAATGGTCATTTCGTTCAATTACAGTACTTGTTCTAACGGAGAATTTCAAGAAAAGTTTTCAAGAGCCACGAATGACGATAACTTCACGAGAAACTTAAAATATTTTAATCTAGCTCAAGTGACATTTCTCGTAATTAATTTTATAGTAGGTTAACCACTTTCAGAGCAACTTTCCTTGAATACTTTTCAGATCTAACTCACATCACACCGTTTTTTTCGATGCCCTTCAAAAACAGAAGATGATAAAAAGTAACTGAAGTCACTCGGTCCAACATCACCCAAAGAAAAACAAGAAACCTCGAATTGAACTTACGCAACCTCAACCCAGAAAAATTAAGAAAGCTCAATTCTGAACCAAACCTTCGAATATTATCCTTGATCAACACGCCCAAATAGAATACTTATACAGGAAATTATCGAACCTATCCTCACGAGCCTTTCATTCACACTACGAATTTACTGTACGTTGAAAACACGCCAAAAATATGAGGTCAAATCTATCTTCATGGAAACTAAATTACGCATAAACCGAAATTTAACATGCCTTAACCTGTCTTGACTTAACTTAACGTGACTCATGGTGAAATTCAACGATGACTGTCCAAAGCAACAAAAACGAATTTTCTTTGAAACCTCGGACGTGGGAAAACAGATTTTCGCGCTGTGAATATCCAGTAGAATCTCGTTATAACGAATAATCCGCTTACAACGACGTCGTTTTCCAGGTCCTTGCCCAATAGCCAAAACAATAAATGAGCTACTTTTTAACGATTTTCTCGGTTCGTTGTAAATTGATTTTACTGTATAAGCAGCACTAAAAATGGAGCTTTCACACACATACACACAAAAATAAATACACTTTCATTTTTTTTTCTCCAAAAATAAATCTTGTTCAGTACGGAAATAAAGAAGCACTCACCAGGTCACAACCGCCACCGACGTAGCCCTGCAAATCGTGGCGCCTCAGTGACTCCGCATCCACGCCGCCGCCACCATTATGACCGCCCTGATACGACCCTCTACCATCCCCACTGCTGCCCACCACAGGCGGCACCCCAGTGGCGGAACTCGTGCTACAGTAGCCACTGCTACTGCCTGTGCTCAACCCCGAGATGCTCGTGTAATTCGAAATAGTGCTCGCGGCGGAACTCGCGTCGCCGGTCTTGATATAAGGCTGCAAGTCCGTCCGAATCTCGGCCAGGGCCTTTTGAGTGTACGGCGACCGAGAGCCGCGAGAGGCATTCGAATTGGTGGTCGAGGCGCCACCGTTGTTGCCACCGCCACCGCCGCCGGTGGTGGTGGAAACGGACGATGACGACGCGGTGTTGTTGTTGTTGCTGTTGGCTAAAGAGGGTGGCGGTAGTGGCGGCGGCTGACCGGCGGGGCTTGTCTGCGGCGCCGCGGACGACGGCGACGAAGGCCAGGGCGCGTCCATCACGGCGGCCGGTTTCGCGGACGCCGCCGCGCCCGGCTTGTTCTCCGCGCAGCCCGCGTTGTTGTTGAACAAATGGAGGTTCTCTATCGTCAACGTTGTTCGCCCACCCTGTCAAATTTTTCAAAAACAGAAAAAAAAACACACGAAAAATGATTAGGATAACGAATCAATCGATTCCGGATGAAAATCGAGTCAATCGGGTGCATTGTAATCTCGAACAAAGCTGTCGAGCTAGTGGAACACACCCACAACCACCTTATTCAGGGTTGTAATCTCTCTTGAACGACATTCTCTGTAAAACGATATCCTTTTAGGCCCCATAGGGTTCTCTCGCCATGTTAAAGGGATTCTCAGCAACAAAATTTTCTGTATAACGAATTTTTGTTAGTTGTTAACCTTGAATTTCGTTTTAGAGAGCCCATCCGAACCAGCATCAGCATATCGAAAAACTCTGCCTCAATAAAATGCAACGCATTTTACACCAAACTGACCTCACCTTACACAGAAAAACTAATTCCATCGACCCCAGAAAAGCAAACTTCAGACGAAGCTATTCAGATTACACTGTGGTACCAGTTGAGAAGCATATAATTAAATCAACCAGATTTTTAAACCATTCTTCAAGCATTGCTCTCCAGCCGAAAGAAATACTATATTTCCAATATATTTATAAGGAAGTATGCATAAACTTTGATCTTGACTGAGTATAATATTTTCGTGGACGAAAACAGATTCAAGATCATCACTAAAGGTTCAAATCAATCGAACAAAAAGCCAAGAATAATAATTAGTTCATTGAGACTCATGATCACTTATTTTTTTCGATGCAAATTTCGCGAAAAAATCGCAAGATTTTAGGATTAATAGAGCGAGTAAAATATTCAAGCGTTGTATTCTTACTTTTCTCTATTGTATTTCGAAAGTAAGAGCGGTATTTACGTCGAAATGATGAATGAGCGACCCCAATATTTTATCAAATACGGTGTTGTAGTTCATTCCGCTATCGAAATGAAAGCTTTCATTACTATCCTGTACTTTGTATCTTCAGCAAAGATGCATTATAACTTTTCAAAAAATTTTAATCCAATATATTTACCGCATTTACGTGAGTCATGTTTGCAAAACAAAATTAAATGCCGTTTTTCGTAAGGATATAAATTTTCCAAAATTCTTCCCAGACGTTCGACTCAATATTGGAACCAAAGACTTCATCAACGAAAGTGCAGTTTAAAAACGAAATCAACGTGATGAGAACCATAGAAATGAAATGAAAACTAAAAAATTGATTCCTTCGCCATATTTACTCAGCATCAGCCATTCTTTACTTTAGACCCGCAGTTCAATCGCGAAAATTTGCCCAATTTCGACTGTAAGCTTACACAATAATCGTCTCGTGTTTAAAATAAAAATGCTACACAGTATGATTATTGTGCCAGCATGATAATTACATAGAATAAAAAGAATTACTTACGAGATACACAAGCTAAAAAGAAATGAGGGCATAGCCACATACATTTCGAAATATCGGGAGAAAATGCCTTCGCGCGGGCGCTTGCATAAACAAAAGATACAAAAACGCATTTAGGTTCCTTATCGCGAAAAATATATAAAACCGAAAGTGTCAATAGGCGAAACCACATGCTCGCCAATTTTCTTTCGTTTGTTCAAGCGACAAAAATCCCGCATTCTTCCTGTCTTATCTCATCTGCTTCAGGATGAGCATGTGCCGAGATGAGTCATCCAAACAGGATGCCCACTATTTCTTCACAAAAATTAGGAAATTTCATCAGTTTTGAATTACTAAGATTTCGGGTTTTTATATCGAAAGTTGCTTGCATTCACTTACAAGATTGATGATACAATTGACACCCCTTAATCGGACTTCATCCTCATTTCGCACCATTTAAAAAGCTGCTTCGATTAAAAAAAAATAACCTAATGCCAATTAAAAGTAGATCGATTTTCACTAAGTAATATCTCCAGAAGATTTTAAAATAACCATTTTAAAGTCAGCACCAAGTTCAGCTATTCTGTGACGTTCAATTTTGCGAGACACCCAGAAACCCCAATTTTTGCGTTTGCATCATTCGAAGTACTGCATAATTGAAAACCCTACACGGTCTCATCAATCAAAAAAAGTAAAAATCTTGTATGATCCACACGAAATACGACGAGATTACATAACTTCAGTCACGCAAAAACCGTCGGTCTTCCTTTTTTCTAAGAAATCGCCCGTCTGCAACAGGTCAGAGTTCATTGCCTCGAAATTGCTTCTAAAATTGGAAAGATGACACACGGAATATTACCAGTCGAGGGGGATTCGATAACAAAATGAGACAAATCTTCCGTGAAATTCCTGAAATTCTTTGGCGAGGTGAGATAAATGGGGAGAAATTTTCGAGCAGACTGATAAGACTTTTCCGACCCTGCCCTTCAAAATGCGGAGGGGGGAATTTAACCAAACGACGGTCCTCAAAACTGAAAGTACGAGGAATGATTCTTGAAATTGTTCTGTCTTGCGATTATCTTGCTTATATCTATTTCAACGAACGGGATTATTTTTAGACCAATATTTAACCATTTTTGGATCCTATTAAAATTTTTTGCTGACCTCAGAATCGAGAGAGCTGATAGTGTTTCCTTCACGGATTATCTGCAACACTTGTACGTTAATGCATTTGCAGAAAGCCTAAGTCCTGCAAATTGATTCCATCAACTTCAAAATATATCTAATAACGACCTAAACATTATATAAAATTATAAATGAAAATATCTCGAACACTGAGCGAGAATATGCAGTATAATCAGGACTGATGTTAAATAAATTTCAAGTGAAGATTACCATGAACAATTTCGCTATCGATTCCAAACTGAGGTTTTAATTTTTTTTAACGGGCAACTTTACGTCGATTGTGAAACTTTTCAACCATTCCTCATAAACACAAAAATCAAGAGAAAAAATCTTTAAATTCCGCAACTCAGTCCCTGAAAACCATACCTTCTACTCATTTATAATGAAACACGGAAGACTTCCGGAAATGTGTCTCATAAAACCAATAAAAAACTACCTCGAAACAAATAAAAGCACGTGCTTCAACCAAACATGAAAAAGAAAAGGTATCCGAGAAAGCATGGAAAAAAACAAAGATAAATTATATCAAGAGTTCGAAACCGGAGCCACATTCCGTCAATGAAACGCGGAATTTCGAGCGTTCGCTTTCAATTTCGCACGTCAGGTACCTCTTGCCATTTCCTTGCGAATTTCCTCATTTTTTCTTCTTCTTTCGAAAGCGAAAGTGAACAGGAGAGAAAAATTGCAAGATAAATTGAACTCAGTTCAGCAAACTGAACCAGTTCTAACTCATACAAGATTTTCTCCCTGACCTGCCGGCATATTTCGAAGACGTGATTTTTTTGAAAATCCCGCTTAGAATTCTCCTTTTGTTATCAATGGCCTCAGCGAATCGGTTAAACTGTGTCTTAACTCTTAAAATGAGTGATAGAAGCTCAAGTAAAAAAATTACCTACAAAATCAAACAAAGAACATTACGTAATCACCAAGTTCGTTCTTTGTGCCACTACATACTTCACAGCACTAAATAATAAACTTCAAGCAACTAATAGACCTTATTTTAAAATTAGCAAATTTCTTGAAGACGTCTCTTTTCATTTGAAACACGTTTGATATGCAGAAATTCCCGTCATGCGCCGTTAATAGCGAGTACGAAAGTAACCCATCACTCGTAAAAGGATTCGATTCAAATCCAATTTAATTTAGGGTTTTGAATGATTACCTGATGTTTGCAGCCGTTTTTGCGCGATTGGCCGGACAAGTCCTTGCCGGTTTTGGCGAAAACAGAGGTCACGGGAAGCAGGACTTCCTTCTTGCTCTGCATGCGACCGGCCGAAAAAGTTTCCACGCCGATCCCACTTTTTTGTCGTTGTTGTTTCAACACAATTGGAACAAAAACAATATTGTCGACAACAATATCACACACGACGACGACGACGAGCACTCATCACTTTTACTTCTTCCGACACATACAAATACACTCTTTTTTCACAGATGTAGCTACGTCATGACATGAAGGTATTTCTTTTCTGTCTCACAAGTTCACTCGCGTTGCATTCTGTTCAACAGATCGGGAATTCGATTGGGTTCCTTTCACGTTTTCTTTGCAACTTTGTCCTGGCGAAGAAAACAAGTAGCCCTTCAGAACAGCAAAACACAGTTGACAAGCGGAACTTGATAATTGGAGAAGCGCGAAACATTCAAGAAGTTTAATAGCCTGAGGTTCTGGTGAAAAAAATAATATTTTTCTAATATGGTTAGAGGTCTCGATTTCCACGATGGCTGCTTTTCAATCGCAGACATGTCAAGAAACGATTTGAGATCATGTTACTTTACTCCATCTGCTACTGCCAAGATTTAAAATATTGTCCCGTTTTTATACGAAGTGCAAAGGTTAGTTTCGTTGGATGAGGTCAGCCATGACTTGGGATTTAGGTTAGGTCAGCTGCTCCTGAAGCGGGTGTCATTCCCATCAATCTCATCTGTCTACAAAAGTGAGGTAAGTTTGGATTGGTTCAAAACAGATGAGGTATGAGTCGGATGACTCAGACTTTCATCAGGTAAACTAAACCATGTGCAAAAGTATACCCTTCTTCTCTTATTTTCCTCGATGTTTGGAAAAATTCCACAGTTCCAGTCCAAAATTTTTTGAAATTTGAGCATCCCAGGGTAAAAAATTCGTCATGTGAGTTACTTTCACCCCATTAAAAAATTCGTTTTGCGAATTTTTCGTTGCGCGAGGGTCACTGCATTGAATGGATTAATGGATTAGATTAGAGTAGCGTTCAGGAGCCTGTACCAAATTTTTGAATATTTCATAACGGTATAAGTAAAAATGTAAAATAACATTGCAAAAATATCGTCATCAGAAATTCTTTTCGCATCGCCACTGCTGCGCGTTTCATTTCAGGACGACTCTCCTTCACAAAAGGTTCGAGACGTAATTGCCTCGTGAAGAGTTTCACGCACTGTTTTTAGCCATGTCACCGTCGTAAACGCAACGTCGTTGTAATTAAAGAGTGGGGTATAAATAAGTCCAGCAAGGATATGACCAAGAAAACATATTGAGTACCGTGAACAGCCAACCCCAGCTATGGTAATAAAACTCAAGAACACCATTTGACTTTCGATCAGTTATAAACTTATAATCGGTTTACGCACGGTTTGGGTTTTCAATGCAAAAAAAATTATCGGTATTTTCCCTTGCACCTTGCTAACAAAGGAACATTATCAACATCAACAATGTCATGGGGGAACAAAAGAGACCAAGGATCAGCTTTCACGCACCACGAAGATCGGCTTATGAGCTGGTCAAGTAATGACCTGTCGGATTAAACTGCAGGGTTCCCATCGTTTTACCCGAAGGAAAAATACAAGCTTCAGCAGCCAATAAGCTGAACCAAGCCCTTAATCGGCCATCACGAAGAACGGGATTAGTGAGCAGCAGCGCAAATTAACCCTGCATGTTGAATTCACAACTTCAACAGAGAAAAAACCACATAGCGAACCTCACTTGTCTTCCGGGAAGATCGGCAGCTGAATGAACACCGAATTAATTCGGAAGCGTGCGCGTTTTCCTCGAGCCGCACGACTCGCAGTAAGCGCGACACGAAACTTTTCCAAACCAAACAAACCCCCTCCCACCCCCCAGAAAGTTGACTGATATCTCAAATTTCGCAAACAACAAACCAAAAATCAACCTCATACCTCAGGAATGCGCACTTCGACACTTATCACAGTACGAACGCGCTTGAAATCTTGCATCAAGTACACTACACATACCAAATCTCGCGAACACCTCTTTCGAACTATTCGCTGAGTCACTCACAGAAATAAGCACTGTTCTTCATCCGCCACGAAGGAGCCAAGAAACACGTGCCTTATTCACCCAATTCACAGCACCAGGAAGCGAAAAACGGTGACCCAAGCATCACAGCGAGCGAGTTCCTTCTCTTCCTTCACTGGTCATCGTCGCAGAAAATTACTGCATGTCCGCCGCGAGCAACGCTCTGCGACGGAATGGCGGCGTGTGATGCGGAACGCCGCTGAACGCATGGCGTGAGTTGGTGTTCAGCAGGTAAGGGCACTCCGCGGGCAGAACAGCTCTTCTTTCTGGAGGGAAAGAAAGCGCTCAGAGGACATGGACTGCATTTGTGGTAAAACTGCAGAGAACTGTGCTGGTGGTAACCCGGTTTGTGGACGCTTCGCAGTTCACACAGCAGACTTTCTTGCCCAAGGGACTCGCATTCTACTATAATTTATGCTTCGGATGGCAGCTATACACTTAGCAGTGGCAAATTATGCTTGTAACGAAATTGAAGTTTGATTTATTGTTTCTGCAATGAATACAAGGTTCCCATCACATCCATTTTTTTCAGTGGAAGCAAGTTTTAAAATACATCTAGCATTTTTTAAGCATTTTTTCAGTATCTCCATAATTGATTGATGTATGTACGTTTTTCAAACTCCAGAAATAGAAACATAACTATGAGAACTCTTCAGATAGCATACATTCTTTTGTAAAGTAGCATAGATGATGGTATACAATATTTTTGAGCGATGAAGTTGCTTTATCGCCAATATTCACTTCATACAGGAGCATATCCTGCTTCCAATAGACGCATAAAATTATATGACACATGTATACTGGCTAACACAGCATCTTTTAAAGCAAATAAAATCACAATACATTTAGTAGGGTATATACTGCTGATTCATTTTTCCTTTATTTTTTCTGAAATTTCTGATTGAGGTACACTTATTGTTTCAGCGCGATGCCTTACATAAAGTATTACTGAATAAGAAAGATAATACTGTATGCCGCACATCACGGAGTCGGAATAGCGGCAAGAGGAATTCATCCATTTTTCAGAATCAGCAAATTCAAATCGCTCTGAAGAATGTCTCTTAGTAATGATGCAATATTTTCCTGTCCACACATAATTATGTTCTGCTTCTATACAGTGATTTGAAATATATAAATACACTTCTACAGTATTAAAATTACATTGAATGGCTAACCATCATATCGTAACACAGGAGAGAATACAGTTAACAAAGGTTACTTCTGCTTAAGCCTCACATATGTAAAGCAAATTTTCAACAAAATGCAAATAAAACTTGAATTTAAAAAGGCTTGACCAGGAAGAAACAATCAAAATGAGAAGCGCACACACCGCATTTTGCACTTGAATGTAGACTTTTAGGGGATATTGTTTATGCTACACAAACTGCACTTGAAGGGATTAATGATCAAAAGCACCATGAATTTACGGACTCTCTCTCTCTCTCTCTACAACGAATTCAGAAGATAGCTTTTCGCAGAGAACACCTATTCAATAATAAGTTGATAAGTGACGAGCCTATATGAGACTAAAAATTATTTTACACATGAGATTGTAGCATGCAGACAATATCATGGTAGATCTGAAGCCTATACATATATGTACTTGTGCACACAGAAGTCTGTTGTCAAAATAAGGCCATAAATATACAGTACGATATAGAAATACAGTATCATGTTTGTATAAACGGAGGTCATGGATGTTATTCAGTAAAAGCCGAATTTTCAATTTTAAAAGCCAAAATACCATTTTCCCTACACAGCTCACACACACACTACTTACCTATAGATGCCATCAGCAAATTGATGCACGCTGCATAGCCCCCCATCATCTCAATTATTAATTAAATTAGAACCGAATTCCTCAAGGTTGAATAATTGGAGTATAATGTTAACCATAAGTTGTCAAACGAATACTTTTTCCGAGAGAGAATCTCAAATAAAAAACACACAAGAGTAACAGATTAGTAACGTACCACAAGCAACGTTTTATTACACATACACCGATCACATGTAAAATGTCAGCAACCGCAACTGACAGCGACATCTATATCACAATACTGATGACTCAAGGAACGGCAATCACGACTTCTGTTTCGGTGGTGTCATTGCATTCCCCTCGGGATAACGAACCTTGAATCGTTCCTCCAACTCTGGGTCGACCAAACGTATTCCGTCCAGCTGATTTCCCAACGTTATCCTTCAAATCAAAAACCAAATAAATATTTATGGCATACGAGTAAGGTATATTTCTTCTTTTTACGAAATCAAAATCACACAAATTTACGTTCCCCAGTATTTTAATATCACTTACCTGTATCAGTTTCTCGAAACGAAATTCAACATCTGAAGGAGAAGCTAACTAATTTACATCCCACTGAACCTAACCCAACCCAAGTGAAGACCAATCAATTTGACTAGATTAAAAGAATCCAAAAATTAGAACCTACCCCTAAAATTTTTTTAAAACCTGTCCAAATCGAATCCACATTTTAAAAAATAACCGAACCAGATTCACTTCGACACCTAAGCCGAAAAAAAAACAGAACAGAACCCCAATTTACGTGAACCCATCAAAAATGATGTGAAGTATTAAATTAGGACCTTACAGGAAATATAACATATACATAACAAAAATCAAAATGAACAACATATGGAAAATGTGGGGATAGCATATAAAATGGAAGGACACGAAGACCAATGTGCTCCGTTTACCGGAACAGAAGCAGTAGTTTACCACTGGTTTAGTAGTGTACAGTATATTAATTTACCAGTTTGGCTGAGCATTATGTTGCCTCCCGAAAAGCTCTATTTTCCTGGTTCCAGGAGACAAACGTTCGATGATCCCATAAATTTCGTCCGGTTTATGCGAAGTGGCTCGCACTTCAGCTACGATGACGTCGCAGTCAAGACCACGATTAAGTTTATCAGGATTCCCTTTCATCCCAACCTGAAGAAAAAAAAACATTATTTATAACTTGTTCCCACGAAAATATGACCTAACCGTATTTACTGAAACACGAATTGCATGACATTGGTTCTCAAAAACGTCATGAAAGTTGCATGTGAATGTAGGACGCGATTCCATTAGATTATATGTCATACGCAAAAAAGTCCCGACTGTTTCGAGCCATTTTCACGTTTATTTGAATAAATATGGCAATTAAATAATTAATTATCGTACATCTCCTCAGCACAACTCTCGATATACAGTACGGTACAGTATAATAAAGATTTAATTTACTTACCAAGCAATGTTCTTTTCCATGGTTCAGCCAATGTCCAGTTCTGCCCGTGCGAATGATTCTCTGCAACTGATTTGTCTTCACCCAAATGAGTTCATCCACTCGCTCATATCCCCACAGGGATAAACATTCTCTTCCCAGCTCCATGGCTCTAAAATGAATATAATAAATTTGAAAACAATTTCTAAATGCTTGCAGAAATCAGGCGGATAAAATCGAACACGCAATACCCAGGAGTCTCGTAATTTACAAAATGTAACTTCCGCAGAAGAGAAGTTGACGTGAGTAAAAAGTACAGTATTTCCGAAAACCCGGTTACAACAGTTCAATACTGTACAAAGAAGTGGCACAACTTTTCAACCAATCCTGGTATACCTGGATAATTTGTACAAATAAATAAATGAAAGTCGCACCTGCCGGTGACCCACAAGAAAATGAGCCCATCATCTTGCAGACAAGGTACATTCAACTGCCGCATTTCGTCGTCAGACATAGTTCCGTACGGAAGCTCCATGTGAATATCCCACGGAGGATCAGCCATGACCACAGAAAACTTTCCCAAGATACTCATATCAAAGAATCTAAGATCACTCTGAATCCATTGTGGCGGTAACAACACCGTTGATTCACTGGGTCGCATCATCACTTCGTTCGCTTTATTCCGAATATCTGCTGCCGATGTTGAGTCTGCCAATTCCAAGGAGAGAACCTCTTCTTTTTCATCTCGTCTCACAGCTGCCCCTTCGTAATCAACTTGATAGTGAACATACCTAATAGAAGAACACATTTCAAAGTAAAACAGCAACACAATCTTTAAAATAAAGGGTGCATGTTCTACGCACTGAAACTAGATTCAATTTTAACCCGTTTTCAAGACTGTGCTCACACAAATTTGATTGAAATACTACGAGAAGAAGTTTTCGAAAAATTTTGATCGCACGCGGAAATCAGTCGTTCATTGAAGGAACATACTTGCAAGAATCCATGTGAAAACAGGTGTTCAGAAAAGAACAATCCCCCAATGCTTCATCCGTATGTTTCTGAATAATTTTTCGGAAGTGCAGCTTCCGACACAAAGAAGATGACGAAGACAGCTTTAACCGGGCTCTCACACATTCATCACGTGTTCCATAAGAACAGAATTCTTGTACTTGAGTTCCTTCGCACAGAAAAACGAAATTTTCGTTTTCAATGAAAAACGGGTATTTCGGGAAGCAAAGGAAAAATGAGAAAACACGAACCTCCCTGTGATCTGAAACGCTCAACAGTTGATCTTTCTTTGGCAGTCGGTTTGCTAAGCAGCTCAAGAATTTCTTCGCCAAGCTTTTTAGTTTCTCGTTCTTTCGTCGTTCTCATAGACAATAATCTCTGCAAAATTTTTCGGAAAAATTGGGACGATCTTCAATTGTCCAAAAAACACAGAAGACTTGAACAAAATCGACTAGTATACGAGGATTACTTTTGCCAGCATTTGGTTCCCTAGATACAACGTACGTAATTTTTTCAAGAGAATATGGACCAGTACTTGATCATTTGATACTGTAGGTTTATCTAGAATAATATACCGTAATTTTAAAATATCCTCAGAGACGAAGTACAGTATTAAAATGAAAACCTTCGTTACAATATGATCCATGACATTTTTAAAACTATGAACTGATATAAATGAACGCATCATTAGTACTGTAATAGAAAACAATTCATATTAGCGACTGAAACAAAAAAATCCAGGCGACACTTAGAGAATGGCGAGATTCGGCAATTTTGGCATCGAGACAAATATAAGCAAAAATTATTCTTCTGAGACAAACCATGATATCGTCAGGAGCAGATGAGCCAACAGTAGATTCTTCCACTTTACTCGGAGCAGAGGGTTTCACTTCTTCGGCAGAACTTTCACAATCTTTAAGAACAGTTTTGGCTTCTTTCTTCACAGAAGTCGTGGAAGCATTTTGGATAGTAAAACCGCTTTGCCCCGACTGCACCTCACCAACTTCGGCACGAATTTCATTCGCGAACATCCACAGTTTATCGTATTCCACTGCTGTCACCTGGAACTCGATTTGCTTGCTTTTCTGCACTTCGCTGACCCTGAGGGAATCAAATCAACCAGTGACGCACATTTTACAACACAAAACAAATGAAAACTGTACTCACGTTATCAATTCTTGGACAGCAAATTTTTTCAGCAAATTTGTGACTACTGGAAGCGCGATTTGCCTACTTAGCACGCCGGAAATGTGCTGAATAAGCGAAGATGCATCGATGGGCAATGAAACACTTGCGTCGCATAACTTGGACAAAAGTTCGAATTCCACGGCAGGGTCTTTCAGCGCAGGACAATTCATGAGATCGGGCTTCAAATCGGGAAATTTCGCCGCTGGAAAAGATATATGCAAAATTTCAAAACCCACGAGAAACATTGCCATCACACTTTCATGAAGTGGCCAGCAAAGGCCAGCAAACGCTGCTCAGATCATGCCGAATTTTACAATACTGTAATGCAAGGTAATTTTTTTCCAAATGAGCACAAAAAAACAAGTGGCGTCTCAGGAACTAAGGTTTTCGGGATTTTTGAAGAATACGGCAGAGCGACTTAGAGTCACAAACAAAAATGTGTCCAAGTCCCAAGCGCCGAAAAATTACAATGCGTCTTAAATATTCGCGTAAATGCGATCAGTGAAATAAAATTTCGGAATAAGGGCTACGGTATTTCAAAAAACTATATTCACGCGGTTCGCCAGATGACGACCCTGTGTTATCGCAGGACGACGACGTAACAACGTCCTTCAGCAGACCCTCGCGCTCGCGTTTCCGCTTTTGCATGCGCTCCATCAAACTGTTCTTCCGCATGATGAATTCCTGCATATCCGACCACGTATCGCTGTTCGCCATGACCACGAGCTGTTCGACACAACCCTCAAAAACTTATCTGGAAAAACACGTGCAAGATTCCGCAGAATTACTCGGTTCAAATCCCGACAGAAAAAAACCCTGACCCTCTTTTTTTCAAGCACTGACGAGAAAAATGCCGGAATGCAACAAAAATGCTTTTATTTATGACACGAATTCACGCAGATGGAAAACAATTCAAGACATGGCATCAACAGCTGCTTGAAGGGAAGCAATCACAGTATCCAAATTTTTTCTTTCGAGTTCCATTAACACAGTTTTGTTTTTGGTGGTCAATTCCAACGACAGCAATGGCTGCAGTAAACGAGGCGCTTCTGATGAACCCAGACACATCTGAGAACAAATTTAAAATGTCAAATGCACAGATTAACAAATGGTATCTGATTTTGCATGCTGTTCAGAAGAAATTATCACACAATCATATTTGAAAATTATATCATTAATAAATAATTTTCCTGAAATTGCTGTACATTCATCACGGATTTTTTTAAACACATCCCTCAGAACTCTCGATTTGAAATTCAAACATTCAACACACAGCAATTTGGCCTTTATCAACTCATGAAATTTCAATTGCTGGAAAGCATTTCAGATTTATGGACATTGCTTAGAATGACAACTTGGGTTAGATTTTCAAAAACTTTAATAACATTGAGATTTTATAAATTTGTCAAGACACTCATCAATTCTCAACTCTTTCAACGATGAGAATTGGAAGGATTTAAAAACAAGAAGAGGAATGAAGCAACCAATCGGCACAAAATGAGAAAATCCTCTAAAGTGAGGTGATCCTTAAATGAGATAATTCTTAAATAAGATAATCTAAGCTGCCCTTTTCTTGCTTGAAAAAAGGTGAAAATTTATCATGGAAACCAACATCCTGAAATTAAATAAACTTACATTGACTTCCCAGTTATGGAACAGAAGTCGGTTTGTAGATTGCAACGCAGAATTTCTTTCAAGAACTTGCTTCCAATCAACTGATGTTTCTTGGAAAACATTATCCAGGATATTTTGAATCTTTGTTGAGTTCTGCAATAAAAACACCAATCTTACACATTCTGCTTTTCAACAGTCTTCTGAATTACTCACGTTCCAGAAGTTATTTCCACGCAAACTGGAGAGAATGATTTTGTCTGCAAACTTCATTCCCTCCCCAAACTGACTGATGGTCCATTTGTCACAGAAGTCTTCATATTTGGGTGCAGATAAACCACTTAATTTATTTAAGTTTGCATGCAAAAACTGTGAAATAAAAAATAGACTAAGGCAAAGCTCTTTCTGTAAATATAATTCCAATTTACCTGCTTCAGTTCTTCATCTGACAAATCTTCCATTAACTCCATAGCACTGTTCTGAAAAAAAATGTCAATCCTGAGGATGATAATGAAATATCAAAAGATTGAAAGCAGAAAATCACCATAAAATGAAAAAAAAAAGATTACAATTTTCATTGCAGGAATTCCTGTACAAAATTTGGAAACACTTTAGAAAAAAATTCCTCTTCATGAACATAAATCCATACACCGTTAATTATAATCAATACTCTTGATGGATTCACTTAATTTTTTAATGTTGAGGTTAATTATTTTTTGTTTCTTCTTCAAATTGTTCAGTTGTTGCATAAGTAATCAGATAATTTAAATATATTAAATGAATAATTCAATGAAATGATTCAGGTGCAACCCAAAAAGCAAAGCAGGACAAGAATATTCCTGGCACCAGTTGCATTTCAGAACCACACCAAAACCACGCAAGAAAATTGAGCTTCACAAATTTCAGATCACACCAACTATACCGGGCAGCTGATGTCCGATTTTTTTTGATTCACTGCTTAAAAGTAGCTCATCGTTTGATTTGTCCAAGGTAGCACCGCAAATTCTGCTTGAAACTGAAGAAAATGCGCGGGAATGCTAACAAGACAAAAGTTTCAAAATAGCGTACCTGCAATATTTTTCTTGACAAAAAAGAGGAGGCAAAACACAAAATACTTCTCCATAGATTCTTGGCTGTGAACTATTTTTCCTCAGGCACAAAACTTGCTCAACTTTTTGTATATCACGTTCACTTGAGTGTCTTCATGGGTTCAACACCTTGATTCTTTGCTAGGATTTCCTGGGAAATTGAAACGAGAAAATGATTGAAATCCACCAAAAATTTGAGGAAGATTTCCTGAATAAAACATTGACATTTGAGGCATGTTCATAAATTTGCCGGTCTTGCGCATCCTTTGTTGCGTAAATGGATATTGATGTTTGCTTCATTGCACAAGAATGTATAATTTTCCAACCATTGCTTTTATTTTCAATCGCCCTCACAAAATCTCTCCGTGATTAGGAAGATTTCAAACAAGAAAGTCGGTATGAAAATAGCCATAATTCTTTGAACAGCCAAATTTTGATCCATTTCTCAAATAGGCAATAAGAATAAAAAATAATAAAAAACTCACAGCCCTTGACAACTGATTTTGATGATACAGGATACCACCGCGTTTCTCCGTTGCGGTGATCCAGGAACGCTCTGGATCCCCGGCAATAAGCACAGATTTTTCCGGGTCCACCTTCACACACATAACCAAGTTGGAAAAATGATTCAGTATTTCAAGTAAAACTAAAAAATTACAATTCAAGAACTCACAGGTTCAAAACTTCGCAGAGTTTTGGCAAGGTCTTTCATACTAGATTCGTAATCACTACTGAAACACGAGGGATCAATGGCTGCGAAACACTGGCCCAGATTTGCAGGTCTCGAGTCTGCAGAAAGCCACATTCGGATATTCGGCCCATACGCTGATCCTGCAAAAAAAAAAAAAAAACGCATTCACGAGATATTAACTGCAAATACATAAAAATCTTTTACACGGACGTTCATCACGCAGGGACATTTGAATATTTTTTCAAGAACCGTTTTCTGACTGGTATGTGTTGTCACTCACAACCCCAGAGCAACTTCGCTGTTATAAAAGGGAGAAAAAAAGGCACTTTATTTAAATTCAACGAAGAGCACATTTAATTCCTTTAACGTCTAAAACGCAAAACAAAAATTTGTTCTAATCCTCTCTAAATCAAAATCCTGCCAGTCAAAATGCACGGGCGAGTCATTACCCAACTTTGATAATGAGTAATTTCTTCAGATGGTTATTTACTAGCCGTATTACACAAGGCAGGCATCATACAAATAGAGAATGCTGCATAAAATCATGTCCATCAGACCACAAAAGATACGTACCTCCCAGTATTCCACAGAAGAGATCCACCATCAATCCAAGCCCGTAACCCTTGTACCCTGAATGCAACTCATCACCGCCCAATGGTAGTAGAACACCACGTGCCGCTGGTAAGGCTTTCGCAGGATCTGTCGCAGTATTTCCTTGTGCATCCAGTGCCCAACCCGGAGGAATCTTAGCTTCTTTCACATGCGCAATTTCCAATTTTCCTACAGCTACTGCAGATGTGGCCATGTCCAAGTTGAATCCACCTACAATTCACATCCACCGAACTATACCACATTCGAATCTCAAGAGAGTCTTGTACAGTATCATGAAAACCACTCAAGAGTTAAACTGCTGAATCATGTCAGTTCCTGCAATAAACAAAAACTCAGGATACAAAAACAGAATCTGAAAAGCGAAGTTTACCAGGTGCAGCAACCGCCAAAGGATTGGTTCCCAAAGCTGGCTTTTTCCCTCTAGTTGGAGCAACTAAAGGTGATGTGTTGGTCATAGATATGCCGACCAAACCCTCAGCAACAGCTTGTTCAGAATACCATCCAGCGATGCCATAATGATTTGAGCCTTTTGCTGTCACCCAACCGACTCCAACTTGTTTCGCCTGAGGAAAAACGAAAGTTATGAAGAAAAAATCAAATATACGTCAAATGCGAATGAAAACCTTATTAATCGCCAACTGCATACAAAAATTTCCGACAACCGGACCCAAGGCATTATTTCCATCAACCCACGCTGTAGCAGGCGACTCCTTGAGAATCACTGGTATCGCAGATCCATCACAGGTGTTCGCTTTGATATCATTCACGTACATCTCTTTGAAAACAAAAAAGAAACTCGAATGATATCGCACTCACTTTTGACAAGGCATCAAACGATCCAAAAAAGAACAAGGGCTGGTTCTAGTTTTGTGAATTTCTTCAGAATGGATGAATTACTTATTAGACTTGAGACAATTCCTTGATTTTCAATTACAAACCCGACTTGAGCAAATTTCAATTCAAAAATGTAGGTCTTCAGGGACTCCACGAAAATTGCCACGATGTCACTTCGATGAATCATGTTTTTTCGCATTATTGACACAGGAGTTCGAAGTATACGGTAGCTTTTGCTTTATCGTCTGAAAATTATTGGTACAAGCAAATGGGACAAATCTTTTCTCCTTAGTTTGATGAGGTACACTTCAGAATCTTCGACTATTTTAAATTCCAAACTGGTGGGAGTAAAACTCGTATTAATAGCCAGGAAACAAATATCGCAGTACAGTATTTCGCAAAAATCCCGTTCATTCAGAAATACTCAACAAATAAAGCAAAATACTGAGAAAGCTAGCAAATCTCAATTGCAAATTTCAATTAAAATGATAATTTACCAAAAATATCGGTAACAAACCAAGTCGATTCAGCCCATGGCTAAAATGCCCTCGTTCATCAGCTGCCACCAGGGTGTTCGCAAGTGAAGCAGCAGCCGTTGCATCAGTTCCAACGCTGATCATACAATCAATCATAAACCTTCTGGCTTCCTGACATGAAACACTTCGTTTTCTTTCGTCGTCTCCTACACTGACACTAGAAAACGGTCTAGAACTCAAAACAGTCGTTCTTCCGACTAATCTAAGAACACAAGCTTTCATCGCGAATAAAAGCGAAAATCTAGAACCATACGGAAAATGAAACTTCCAACTTGAGGTAAAAACAGTCGAAACAAGCATCCTTCCACATGTGAACAGCAGGCAAGTTAATACTGGTTTCTCACACCAGATACCCGTTAAGTCTACAAAACCGAAAACGAAAGTGAACTCCTCATCACGAAAAATAAAAATTGGCGATAATAAAAGGCAGACAGAGTTCATGATCCGAAAATCGAACTAAGTAACATACGCAAACAAATTCCCACCAATAGCAGAGATTAGGAAGCACAAACGACAGACACTCGGAATCAAGTCATTCCCTCATTAAAAACGCGAATAACTCAGGAAAACCGTCTCTCACATTGAGTCACATCTTTGAGGGGATCAAAAAAATGAGGAAATTCACTTGAAAAATTACGTTTTAATTCTTGATAGCGTGGCACCGAATCGAAAGAAAATCACTGATCCTTCTTCGCCCGAAAGAAATCCCTCAGCGAACTGAATCCAGTCCTGAATTCAGAATGCATCGAAAACGATCCCCGTATCCAGGCCGGAAGTCCACGCTGAATATCCGGCCTACCGTATCTCGTATCCAACAACAAAATTGCTGCATAATCAGCTTTGTGTCTGATCGCACGACCAATAGACTGATTCAAAGCCTTCAAGCATAAATTCTCGTAATGCTTTTTACCCGACCCAGGTCCACGTTTTTCGTCCAAATGCTTCAGCTTTTCCTGCAGTTCCGGGGATTTCGAGTTGGGGTAAGGGAGACCGACTACGGCGACGCAACGACCGAGATCATCGCCAAAATTTATCCCCTCGCTCATTTTTCCGCCGATAACTGCAAAAAGCATCGCTCCTCCCGTAGTTTCTATGGATTTGGCATATGCAGAAAGCACCTTGTCAACGTCCGAGGAATTTTTAGGCTCTCTGAAGAAAAAGAAACAATGAAAAAAATAAAACATGTAATGTACAATGCACAAGGAGTTTCCCACAGGTCTTCCGGATCACACAACTTTCATAGCCATGCAATGAAACTTTGATTTCCTTCGCAGGAACTGAAACTTGATTTTAAAAATACTTCTCGAGCACAAGAACATGAAAAATGAGTACAGTATCAACATTTTTCTTGTGCAATGAGAATTTCCATCAGGAAAAGACGCACCTTTATATAACTTCAAGAGTTTGTCAACACAATAAAAAAGCTCTCAGACGAAACATTACCGCTTACACCAGTTTTCAGTTAGCGTTAACATTTGTGTCACAATTATCGTTCGCATTTTGTTAAATAGTGATACAGTAGTAACAAACCTGAACACTGCTTTCCTCGACCGCAGCTTTTCTAGAACCCCAGTCTCACTGAAAATCTTCACTACTTCGGCCTCGAATCCATAGGACGGAAAAAATACGACGAATCCTCCAGAAAACAAATTAGTTACGGCGCACAAAGTAGCTCCCAACTCTTTGATACATTCAGCTCGTTTCTCAAACACGAATTCAAGATTTTTCCCAGAGCAGCCTTTCGCCAGTCCCAGACAACAAATGTTACTTGCAGGAACCACGTGACCGCAGGAAAATTCCATGAGCCTCGTTTCAGGCTGGTTGGCGAATAGCTCGTGCCGAAACTCTTCACCAGGCTTCATGGTGCCACCGGCAACAATAATGGCTCTAGCAGAATCCACTATGGATTTGAAATGCTCACTGGTGTCCAACAACATGTACTGAAGACTGCATGTCCCAAAGGAAGTCGTTTTTTTTATCACTATCTTTCCTCCAACGTCTCGATTCGTTAGAGCTTCGACAAATTCCAGGATTTGCAACAACGGCGAGTTCCTGACATGAGGCTTCTGCGGAGCTTCTGGCTCCTTGACTTCATTTTCTGGGACCGAGGATTTCTTTTCTTTCGGCTTAGCGTAAGTGGTCAGAAAGGCCTTCAGCTTCGATTCCGGCGTAGCAACAGGCGGCTTCTGTAAAAATAAGTTTTATTTTTAACTGAATATTTTTCCATTATTCAGTAACACACCTCGGAAGGTTTCTCATCGTTTTTTTCGCGGTAACCGTAAAGCTTCTGCGGAAGACGAATGGCTCCACAAAATTCTACAAGCTCGAATAGATTCAAGGCATCCAAATTGGATTTGAAGACGAAGTTTGGAGAAGAAATAATTTCGGCTTCCTCTTCTTTCAATCCAGTCGAGTCTTCCGGAGAGCACTTGCCTGGTTTTCCTCCCAAGATTTTCAAAAGCTTCGACAACACGAAGATAACTTGCGTAATCCGAACCTACCCCATATTACAATAATTATCGTACTGAAATCAAATATCGCAGTCAGCAGGATGTTAAACAGAAAAATATCTTTTCAAAGCTCTCGGAAAAAGGAATACAGTACTTTTCGAATATTCTTCACGCAGAAAAAAAGAACTAATTCTTCCGTACACCACTTTTCGAGTCCAATTTTGGAGGCACGGTGCCTCCTGTTGAATAGAAATGAATTTTTCAACGAAATGTATTTTCTTAAACGATGTTATCATGCATTGAAAAACTCAGCTCTCGCACAAGAAACATTAATGGTTATCAATAATGTACGAACATTAAGAGAACAGACACGTTTTTCACAAACCTTGTTCCGAGGAGAGAATCGCGTTCTAAATTTGTCATGGTATTGATTAACTTGAGAATACGCAAGACACAGTTGTTCACCAGTTATTTTCGCGTTATGAATACTGGCGACGGTGTCGGCGAGATTATGAGCTTCATCGATGATCACAACAGACCCCTTCAGCTTGATACCACACGTTTTCCTGGTTTTGGAATGTAGAAGGATATTGTAGGGAAGAGCAACAAGCTCTGCGAGTTCAACGGCTTTCCTGGACGCATAATACGGACAAGCTTTCAAATCTTCCCCAGATTTCTTCAAATCTTCGACATCCATCACTTTGGTCAAGGAGACATCGGCTAATGCTTGAACCGCATCCGCGCGAAGAAATGGACACGAACACAAATTCTCCGACTTTCCTTTTCGCTGTTTCTTCGCCACATTTCCATCATCGGATTTCTTCGTTACTTTCGACGACGACTGCTTCATTTCGAGACACCGCTCATTGATGAATGAGGGGTTTCCAAGTTTCAAGACTGATTGGTTGATACACAAATTGGCGCGGGATGCCAAAGTGATGGCACGCGTTTCAGAATAAGGACTCTTCCGAATTTCACCGAGGAATTGGGAAAGTTGTGAGTGGGTTCTGGAAGCAAAAACAACCTGCGTGGGCGTGAACCAAGTTTCTTCTTCTTCGATATCTTCTTGAAGCGGTTCAAGCGAATCTTCGGCTTCTGATTCATCATTCAGAGGATTACTACCACTTTCAGACAAAGTCACGTTCTTCAGAAGAGCAGTCTTCAAAGCGTTGTAATCCTTTCGTATTTTCAGCACACTCAGATTTTGCACACGGCGGTCCAGTTCTTCCGCAGACTGAAGAGACTTCTTCGCTTCTACAAGAGCTGCTTGGATTTGAGACGCTCGGTAACCACTCGTAAGCCAATCTTCGTCATCCGACCTAATGGCTTTCGCGTGCTCAGCTTCAAGAGTAGAAATAGACGTCTTCAGATCCACGCGACGCTTCTCTTCAAAATCCTTCAACCACTTCAATGATCCACATATCAAGCTGAGTGATTTTCCGGTTCCAGTAGGACTTTCAAAAATGCCGAGCTTGGATTTTTCGCAGCATTCATATAGATTAGCCATGAAATCTTTCTGGATGGAATAGGGTTCAAATGGAAAAGGGAATTCCATTTTCTTCGATTATCACACGATATCAATGGATTGCAATAGAAAAATAAAACATTTAATGAATTAAATCTTCATCCCGAAGACGGACACTAAACATATGATGGTCTTGCTCTCCCAGCGCACAGAACAGGATCCGTCGGTTTCTGAGTCCCAGTAAGTCTGCGCGTTCGCATGCAACCCAGTTGCATTTGCTTGAGCAATAACACAGGTAACTGGAAAGCGAAAAATTGAATTAACATATTGAAAACTTACAGGTGGTTGTTCGGAACTCACCAACGTATTTGAAAGGCTTGCTCAGAGATGTGAACCGAGCTAGGGTTTTTGATACGAGCTCGTTGGTAAGTTCACCCACTTTTGAACCATTGTATGTAACACCACTAAGCACACTTTCCACGGTATCGTGTACAATGGCCTTGCTCGCTTCAACGTCAAACTTTTCCTAAAGGCACACAAGAAATGAGAAAGTGTGATCATGGTGGAATAAATGATGCTTACATCATCCAAAACGGAGGTTACTCCATTCTCAGCCATGACCTGCGGTAAACGTCGCACCAAACTGACTGCTCACCAAACGATTTTCGTCAAGAAAGACGAAAACCATGAAACACAATCCAATGAAGACGTTTTCCTGACTCGGTCGAACACTGCCACACACTTCATCAGCAGAGTGCCGGGAGCCCGCACACGGCACGTTAAACTTCGCCACATAGGTGTCGCTGTTATCGTGCAACAGTGTACATATATCGTGCACTGTACTGTACCGTCCATTGCTGTCTCACACTGGGAATCAGGCACATTACATTACAGTATGTAGACTCATATACAGTACTGTACAAGCTGTGTACAGTATACATTTCCTTGTCGTTGCTGACTACTTCACGGCCATCCTCTCACTAAGATTCTTGGATGAACATGACTTCGTGGAGACCGTTTTCACGTTTTTCAATTGCGAAACGTACACTTCGTGCTCGTCGTGCTGAGTGCCGAGCTCTTCCATTTCAACCACGATGGTATAACAGCAGTTGTACTGTACAGTATATGCTTCTCTCGGATGCTGGCTGCCGAAAACCGCCCGGGAAACACATCAGTTATGCAGAGATTAATTATGCTGCTTCCAGCTTGTGATCGTATTTACTTAATTGAAAATTAATGGATGGAATCCTTTGTTATTTTAGAGATTACTTTTAGAAATTGAAAATTTTTCCTTTTGAGAAATCGATATTCATTTTGAGAAATTGTAGATTCGTGCATTGGAATATGAAATAAATAGGCTGATCCAAGAGGCTATAAGGCCGGGAGCCGATGTTAATTTTATGAATACTGTAAACGCTGCTGATGGTCTCTATGTTCAGGAGCAAATAGTCCAAATACTGTACCCTTAAATACGTAGTGTAGCAGTAATCGGGATTTCGTCCTTATCTAATTTGAAGTACAGTATGTAAATGCGGCAAATCTCTTAAATAACTCATAAGAAAATTTTTATACAGTACTGCTGTGTACATATAGGTATGGTTAAGAATCGTGCCGATCGAGAAAAAGGTAAAAATATATACTGTATTAGGCCAATAAGATCTGTTTCATGGATGGATCCTTTTATGGAAATAGCAGATGAAAGAGAAGAATAAGCGACATGGTATGGTTCTAAGCGTGTATAATCGTATTGATGTATATTTTGATGTAAGATAAATTCATTTTGGGGGGTTGTTGTGGCTGCATGAATATGAACTTAAAAAATGTAGTTACGAGTCAATATTCTTATTCACAGATAGGCATGGTTGCTATCAAACAGCAAACTCGTGGCATTTTGTGTCGTAGTGTAATACTGCTGTACTGTCGTACGATTTTGAGGCATAAACAGAACAGATTCGGAACCGAAGGAAAAACCGAATTTTCCTGAACGCTCGTCAAACATTAATTTACTTCTTGCAAGTACTGTCATCTTCGTCAATACGAATCCCGTCGACACGTATAGTGACGGTACATTGAGAGAGATAGATCTAATTGCTGGTGCTCTGACATCGTTTTCTTTTGTGATTGGTTGAGGCGTATGATTTGTTTTCTTGAGAAGTATCGGAACAGCTTTCTTTGACTGAAATTCGTCATGATTTTCACTGCGCATTTCTTAGGCGAAAGCTTTTTCATCGAATATATATACTGGAACGCTGCTGCTGGTATTGCACATTTACAGAACAGCCTTATTTGCTGTTGAAACGTCGTGTACTTCGAAACAACTTTCATCATTGAGATCTGTTGATAACTGTTACCAAGAGTAATCGAAAAAATGGCGTTTTAATATTGAGCGTAAACTTTGCAATGCCAAAAGAGCGAAGAACATTCGGGGGGGGGGGGGGGGGGAAGGGGAATTTTTTGTNGCGAAGAACATTCGGGGGGGGGGGGGGGGGTAAGGGTAATTTTCTGTTGCTTCTAGTTTTGCTACTCAACATTTTCTTTTTCAAGTATATTTTTTATAATCCTTGCTCTAAAATCACATATTCCTAAAAATTATGATGAACTAACAATATAATGCTCAGTTTATCACAATATGTATATATAATGGTACATTGTACAGTATATACTTGTGATGCATTACAAATGCATTAGTAAAAAATGCTTTACAAATAAATAAATTATGCATCACTATAGTGTAACAGTTCCTGAAAATAAGAAAGTTGCTGCAGAAAGCTGGAGGCATGTGTCAATTAAAAGAATATTTATTTTGCCGAGGCAATTTTCTTGGGATGGTCCATGGCTAATATCGTGCATTCAAATATATACGGCACAATCATTTCTATATACATTGCATTCACAGAGACTGATTTCTCTTTCATTTCACATTTCAATAGAAGTACAGTAGCAGTACAAGTCATCAATCACTGTAGACAGTGAGAAAGAAATATATTTATATAAACATGCTTTTACAAAAAGCATCACACACTAATTCAGTGTGACATGAGGATGAAGAAACCAAAACAAGGAAGCTGCAGGGGGAAAATTTTGTCTTTTTCTGTAAAGAAGTTAATTTGAATGGAGGGAAAATCCTTGCATCAAGTGTTAATTGTTGTTGGTCAACATACAGCAGTTATTACTTGGTGGCACATAAATGTTATATGGGAGTCTATTTATAACACTTTGCTGTTCTTTTTAGTTAAAACTCCGGGGATGATCAAGGAATATGCAACAATGACTTCAATAAACTGTCCAGCTTCCATATATCTAGTAGATGGTACAATTGATGCAGCAGCAGCACCCTGCGTTTTGTTTACTTACCACAGCAACTGTCTGTAAGATGTTAGTGGATCACTTAGTTCACTCCTTTTGAATTTATATATTCACATTTAGAGCAGACTGTATAATAGAATACAGTGCCCCCCCCCCCCCCCCCCCCCCCCAACCCCCCACCCCCCCCCCCACCNTTGACCAACAACAATTAACACTTGATGCAAGGATTTTCCCTCCTGCCCAACAAACAAAATCCATCAAACAGACTTCTTTTGGTTTAAAATTAGTGTTGAAAATTGAAATTTTCAATTTTTATGTAATTGAATTCATATAAAGGACTTTTTGTCTAACAGACTTGTCCCTTGCACAAATCAAGTCTGTTAGACGGGGTCGACCGTATACATTTCTCCAGCTTTCTGTGGGTTTGGCCATTGTGGCTCTTGGTGCGGACAACAACTTGTACCTCATCACGGCTCTTGCAAAGTTTGGAGCCTGTTTATCACCGCCTTCATTCACAGTTGTTGCTGCTTCACTTGCTTACAGTGAACACTTGACGCAAATTTGCAAAATAAGTGAAGTGACCTGCGGGACTGCCTTCTCAACAACTACAACTATCACCAGAACTGTCACCACCATGGGTCACAACCCAATAAGCTCCACTTCATCATCAGGATCAACTGAGCACATTTTCAGAAATGCTTTCCAAAATTTTAAGCTGTTCTTCAGGCCAAGTTGGGAAATGATTCCTCATATAAGGAGGATTTGGGTCGGAAATGTGCTTTGAATACTTTCAGCGACTGTATTCCAAGAGTTTTGATTATGTGCCATTTCTGAATGAAGGAATTGTTCGCGGTGGACAATAAATGCATGAGCGGCATATAGATGAAAAATAAGCCTTGTGGTTTATTTTAGGTTGATTTTTTTTCAATGCGAAGCTCTCCATACTGTACTGTATACATAAAGTGGCAATTAATATTTATTTTTGTGAAGCAAATTTTCCGAGAGCGACAATTTTGGAAATATGATCTAAATGAATGCCTTGATCCAAATTTGGATTAGATGATTATTTAAATAATCTAGTACAGTGCTCTTCTATCACTAAGCAATTTGGTCAATACCCAACAAACGATTGATTTTACAGCAGTGCGACCGTTTTTTTTCTTCTGGTGCTCGTTTCAAAATTTGACAGCGCTCTGCAGAAAAAATGAGCAATTAAAAGTTCCGTCTTGCTTCTCAAGCAACAATTGCATTGGATCCACTGCAGAATATCTGCCAACGAACCTGCAGAAAACCCATAGCCGCGTTTCATACTGTATTATATGTTTTCTGCTCATTTTGGAATTTATGCCGATTATTTCTGTTTATCTCATCATCAGAATAAGGCCAAAGAACCAGCATAGATGGTCCAGTACTTCATTGCAAGCAATTTTTTTTGCATGGCAACAAAAGAGCGACGATGGATATAGAGAGTATCTATAAGAAGGGTGTTCATTATACACACATTTCTCAACACACAGCCCAAGAACTCACTTTCCATCGGCATAAATCCGCATCATGGGGTTTTCGGCGACAGTTGCAAACGAGGGGTTTTCCCACGCAAAGCTCTCACCAGTCACCTCTTTCCCACGGGTTGCATCATTGGCCAGCACAGGAATGATTCCGGACATTTTTATTAATACTTGCCTATTCTTACACGAATCCTCATTCCCCTTTCGATCATCCACTGTTCGATGCTGATGGATATATAAAATAATACAGCGTTATATATGCATATGTTGTCGGGGAGGACAGGTATTTTTGTAGGTGAAAATTCGCAGGTTTTTCATATCTTCTCTTTTATTGCAGCATTGTCGCGTTACAGCAATATGAGGGATTCTTCCCACCACGCCCTGCATATTTTTTTTGACAAAAACTGCTGGTCGATGTGATGTTGGTTATATAAAGAGACCCCCAGGCAAACCTTTGCATCGTCAGTCGGTGTTCGGAAAGGCACTTGATAGGATAACAGTGGTCCACTAGTGCATGAGTCGTTTAAATCAAGAAAGTGTTTATTTCTTGACGAAGGGCAAAATACAAGAGTTGTTTCAGTGGATATTGCGAAAATAAATTGCACAGTTCAAGTACTGTTGGATTTTTACATGATGCTTCAGGGTTTCCCAGGTGTTTTGGATTCTTTTGAGCCAATGATGGGTTGCTGAAGATTAATTTAATCAATTGATGATATCTCTTGACAATACTTTTTTTCAATCCACAAATTTAACAGGGTGCAAGTTTTAAAATGCTGTATATTCAGACAATGGATTTAGTTCATCTATATGGACTCCAGTCACTTGAATTACTTTTGTCACTGTTAATCATCACTTGAATAAATTTCAAAGTTCATTAAATAATATAATCGTATACCAATGTCCATCAGTAGAATCGAGATCAATGTATTAAATCCTAATGAATAATCAGTGATCGAACAGAAAATCGGATTGGGCAATTGCAAACCAACAGAATTAACAGTTATCCATCTTTGTCCCTCACATTGAGACATTGTGCAATGCGTAAGAAGATGTCACTGCTGTCAGACAAAATTGTGTTAAAATGCAACACTGAGTCATCTCAAGTGCTGTCCACCGTTCTTGGCTCAGAATTTTTAAAAACATTTTTATAGACTTTTTAGAATTGGTTTTGTGACTAATTATGATACTATCGCAGCGGACTTGTTCAATGAATAAATTTTATTTCAAAGAAATATATGACAGTTGAACCCGAATAACTCAAGCCTCCCTAATTCAAATACCTGCATATTTCAACCTTTTTTCAAGTCCTTGGCTGAATTCCCTTCCAAACAAATTAATAAAAGCCTCATCAACTCCAAGGCTTTCCCCTCAAACCCCTAGAACTAAAAATTTTCTAAAGTCATTTTGATAATTGATTTTATGACCAAGGAAATAGAAAAGGAATGCAAAATGTAACTCAATGCTTTTTGAAAATAAGTGACAAATAACTGGGAAATTGAACCTTTGCCTCCTATAGTTAAGTTAACTTCTTAAAGACAGTTTTGGACCAATAAAGATCACTAAACTCAGCATCTTTTCATTTGTATTCTTTTTCATGGAAAAATATGGATAGTTTCCCTCACAGAAAACCTCCCTAAAACACACTTTTTGCTGGCCGCTTGGAAATTTACTTATTAAAGAAGTTCAATTTTACAATATGTACTCAATGTATGTAAAAGTTTCTCTCTCTTTTTCTTTTTCTACCACGATTACAGTGATTCATTTCAGCGCATTATTTTAGCGAGTGGACAATTGTTTTTCTTCAAAACACGACTCATCATTTATATTCCTCACATATTGTATACTTGTATACAGCTGTGTCTACGACGAAAAGCAGGAAGAGAAACCAAAATCCTCTATTATATTCCGTGAAGTGCACCGTGATTTCCAAAAATGCGGTCCTCGACTCGTCATGCGGAAATAGTGCATAATTGATTTTATGACCAAGGAAATAGAAAAGGAATGCAAAATGTAACTCAATGCTTTTTGAAAATAAGTGACAAATAACTGGGAAATTGAACCTTTGCCTCCTATAGTTAAGTTAACTTCTTAAAGGCAGTTTTGGACCAATAAAGATCACTCAGCTCAGCATCTTTTCATTTTTATTTTTTTCTCATGGTAAAATTGTTAGTTTCCCTTACAGAAAACCTCCCTAAAACACACTTTTTGCTGGCCGCTTGGAAATTTACTTATTAAAGAAGTTCAATTTTACAATATGTACTCAATGCATGTGAAAGTTCCTCTCTCCTTTTCTATTTCTACCACGATTACAGTGATTCATTTTAGCGCATTATTCTAGTGAGTGGACATTTGTTTTTCTTCAAAACACGACTCATCATTTCTATTCCTCACAATATGAACATATGTCGACACAGATGCTGCTTTTCGTCCTTCTCTTTGGTTTTAGGAGATAATATAAGGCACTTCACGTGGCACTAAAGGTTTTTACGCCAGGAGCTGAGCAGTACGCCTTTATCACGTTTTCGCTGCTTCCTGTCTATTTTCAATTCTCAATTGTCAAGTCGTCTCATCGCAGACCATCAACAAATCAGTCGTTCCTGGCCTAGACGAAGATTACTACGATGGCTGGGCAACTTTCAGGGATGAGCCAGCATTTCCAGCTGCAGTAGAATCTTCACCATCGCGAAAAGAAAGGGATGTTCCACGAAATGTACAACCAGGACACGGAGGGATCCCAGGCCATCATGACTTCAGCAGAAACCTTCACTCTCGCAAAGTCTGCTAGCCCTCAGTTATACCGCGGGGGGACGCGCCGGACGGAGTCGGAGTCATGCCTCCTAAGTCCGGCTAAGACCACTCAAGTAATATGAGTTTCCTTAAAACTTTCTGATGGAAGTGCAAAAAGAAAGGGTGGTCTTGGCTTAGAACATTTTCGGAGTCAGATACAGATATATTCTTCATTGCCCCAATCAAGCTTAAAAGCATTCCAGCAAACAAACAAAGAAAACTATGCTGAAATCATTTTTTTTTTAGCAAAGACTCACTAAACAAAATACTGTAGTTGGAAAATTTGCAACCGTAGCACCAGGCAATCAAGCGCAATAAATGTGTCCTCCAACAAATGTAAGATTCAAAATACAGTAAATGGACAATTTCCAAAACAAAATTTGCATTGCCAAAAACTGACTTCCAGAATAAATCTGCGTCAAGCAAAAAATTTCTGGGCAAAAGATTCAGGAATTCTAACGAGCTTTGAGATATATACAATTTTAATATGGGTCTCAAATGAAGTCGAACATATAATTTTAGGAGAGAAAAATTAGCGTGGCTACATTTGCAGCCCCAAAATTTGTAACTTTTTTAAAGTTGAGAGCTTGAAATTCTGAAACCCTGGCTGATGTGAGGTATAGCAGTGAAATACACAAGGTTTAAAGATAAATCAGATTTTTTTAGTGTCAGGAAAAAAAAAACGGAAAATCGCTTGGTGTCATATATGACTTCAAGCTTTTCTGAGCTATGTATGTACGTATATGTTAATTAATTTTTATCAGGAGGAGAACAACAGATTCATTGGAAACATTCCTCAAACCGGGAACCCAGTAAACCTTCCCAAAAGACCCAGCAGTGGACTTAAATTTCCGAATCCCACAGTGCCACCCCATCAACGTGGGTCCGCGGGAAAAAGGTACGATCTTCATTATTATATCTATTCTTTTTAGAATTCAACCGTGCAGCAGTAAGCCATGGAGATTTTAACTATATTATTAAATTAAATGTCAAAAATGTTACAGATTATTACGGGCTAAAATTGACGCATGCTGCTTGATTGTTCATAAGACTTCGTGACATAATTATATTATAGAAAATTATCAGCAGTCGATCTCGAACATTTCTTTTTATTTTTCTGCATAATCATATTCACGATCATCAAGAAGTGCAAAGAAACTCGGTGTACATGTTCTTTACGTTTTCTGTTCTCAAAGGGGCATTCTAATTTTTAAACATTTGAAATCAATCTTACGATTCAGAAATAATCACCATGTCTTTGAAAAAAGACAAATAAAAATACGTCAAAAACTTTCGAACAATCGACTTTTCAGTTGTAGAATTTTTTACAGTACGACGTCTTGCTTTTTATTTGTGCATTTCAGTTGATACAGGTGCAAATGACGAGTTGATCAGCGATCATTAATTGAATGCCCTTCAATTTTTGCGCAAACACGTGAAAATGCACTTGATAAATCCAAGTCGATTTTTTTGCGATCCGAAATCGGAGAGATTGTGTCGAACATAGAATGAAATCCGGCGTTTTTGCTCAAAATTAAGAAACCCCCAGGTTATTAAAATGTGCAATAATTATGAATTAAAATTAGATTGCCCAAGCCGAAGCAGCAGAAGAACAATAAGAAGCCCACCCCTTCCAAGAAGCCCAAACGACCATCAAATAACAACAAGACCAGCAACCGGAAGCCAGCAAAACCCGTCCAACGACCATCTGCTATTCCTCAACCCAGTCCATTCCCAATTGTTACGCCAAAACCCACAACTCCGCGTTACGAACAACCGACCCAGGTTTTCACCGATTACTCGTCTCCATCACTGAATCACGAAACCCATCATCACCAAGTAACAGTCGAAATTCCGAGGGTCACACCGAAACCCTTCCAGCACTTCACAGTCGTGGGGAAATCGCAGAAATCGGCAGAAAAGTCTTCTTCGGAGGAACGGAGACCATCAGGGGTCACTTTTCCGCAGTTCACGACCGAAAAGCAACCCGGGATTTCCTATCAGGTTCCTCATAAGCAACAGATTGACCACCAACGATTCAATCAACAGGTCAGAAAATGCCTGGGATTACGAAATTCCGTTATACTGTAATTTAAAACCTGTTGTCGGCATTTCCATTATAACCGAGTAAAATTTATCAAAGAATTAATGACCAACATTTTTCAAATTCCTGGAAAAATAACATAGATTGAGCAATTCAAAGCTAGCGTTTTAAAGATTTATTTATGTGTGTTTTTAAATCTTAGACATGTAAACAACTTCATAGATTCAGATCTTCACAAGGAATTGAACCCAAACCCTCAAAATTATGATCCAAGTACATAAAACTGTAAATATTCGGAAGATATAAAGGTTCATTCTGACTTTTCCAT